CATTATATCCCTGGTGGGGATTATGCCACCCAAGCCCTACCATCTGAGCAGGATCTACTGCTCTACCACATGTGAGTAGAGTATTCTTACTTTAACAACCATCATTATATTGATTACAGTGAGAACTATTGTTTGACGTTTTTATCTTTTATATATCAAACCACACATTAAGGGACCAGCCCCCAGATCTATACATCCATCAGTGGGGCTTGTGCTGCTGCATGCTGCTAAACTCCGAGCTAGTCTTATAGCTCTCTCAAATGTGAGTGATATACCATAAACATTATTGTTGTATGTCCTGTACCTAGTTCCATACGTTCTGCACCATTACTGGTTATTTTCTGCTTTTATTTAATATATTTCCACCATTTGAAGTCTGGATGGCTACCAGTTGAGAACAGACTCCAGCAATTGTGGACTAATTGGACTTTATATTAGTGAAACCTATATTTTGTGTATATTGTTTTCTCTAAATATTTCAATAAGGGGTTGAGGATAACCCTACTATTAGTGTTTGCTGCCTGCTATAATATCTATAGCGCTTATCCTATCTGTTTATTATTTGAGTGATTTAATATCTGTAAATTTGCTGAAAATGTAAGCTCACTCATTGCTTCCAAATAGCTCATGAAGTTTCAATGAGTCATATCATTCCTACAATCAGGGAGGGAGAGCAGTAAATGCACTATACCATTTCACTTTTAGCTTTACATTATCATTCCAGGGCCTAATGAAGATTGCTATAGCAGTTTTATATGCTTGTATTTTAGAAATATCAGATGTAAGTATATTTACTTTATGTGGGCATTTTTCTTAAATGCAGACACTCTTTTACATACACTTTGCACTTTCTATTAAGATGCACTGCTTGTAATGCCAGTGTCCTCACAAATACCTGTAAGCGAGCCTATTTTAATATTTTCTACTTATCTATTTTGTCACATTTTTGCATTTTTACTTTTATACTCGCATTTTAGACTGTGTGAAATATTACATACACAGTAGATTGTCTAAAACTTTTCATTTCCCTAATTAACTTTATAAGGACTTCATGAATATGTGAAAAAAAGTTATGTAAATTTAAATAATTGTATTTTATATTTTTGACATTTGCCTGCAAAGAAATCTATACACAACATTGCTGTGTTATGATATGTTTATATACTAGCTATGCATCCCTTGCTTCAAATAAATGTTATGCTAATCATTTTTCAATCAAAAAGTTCTTAGTAATGTGTGTATGCTAGGGTCAAATGTAAGGATAACAAAACATAAATCCATGGATGAATTCCACTTTTACTCAACAGTCCAAGCAGGAGGTAGTGTAATCTTTGTTTAAAATTTTCTAGGTACACATTAGTGTGGCTCTTCACCCCAAACCTTGATCTAATAATTTCCCATTCTTTTCTTCCTTTCTAAGCTTGTTCTTTAAAAATACAAAAGACAAAGTAGGGTCATCGCTTGACAAATCTTGATTTGAAATTTCATTGCAGGATGGAAAGAGGCACACAAAGGAGGAGACTATGCATCACTGTCAGGATACTGAACATGGAGGCAGGAAATAAATAAACAGAGGAGAAAACGAAAGGTAAAAATGAACAAAATAAACAAAAAAGAATACATGGGGGACATTCAGGACTGAGATAGTCGACATTGACAAAAAAAAAAAAGGTTTGGTCGTGACAGAGACACTTTATGTCCCTTAATACCAACTGAGCATTATTTAAATGCTACAGCCTATCTGAGTATTGCTGTTGCCATGTGCATTCCTTTATGGCCACAGTTTACACCTTTTCTAATGGCTAATTTCAGTAGGATATCCATCATGTAACAATGTACGCACCATGTTGTAAAGTCACCTCAAGCCAGTGCCACGAACATGACAATAAAAGTACACTATAGTGTTAGGAATACAAACATGTTTACACTCCTGACCTTGCAAGTACAGACTACATGCTCAGAACCATTACATTAAGCTGTACTGGTTTTGGATACTATAAGTGTCCCTATAAGTTCAGTGCACTCCAATGGCCTCCACATGATCTCAGTTCAACAGAGTTGCTGTGGGCTATGCTGGCTACTGCAACAGGGTTGTGCTTTAGTAACTCTGCATTAACTGCCTTATACTAAGAAGTCAATGTATATCAGACTCTCTAAGGAATGATTCTAGCACCTGGTGGAATTCATGTCATTAAGAATCTCTGATGTAATGATAGAAAAAGGGAGTTATACTATGTTCCACATCTGCTATACCAGGTATATCCAGATAATGTTAGAGTTTTCATACAGCCATCTGTCCTTTCCTAAACACCACTTTTTCAGCGCTACCTCACTTAACCCTTCAGATCTCCAGCTAATTTACATCTTATTTGAATGTTAAGCCTACAAATGCATACAGTTTACATGAATCTGCTACAAAGCAAGAAATAGGCATGCTGGTTATAGAATGTCAGAATTTGAAACAGAAAGTAGTTATTGTCATTGTAACTTAAAGAACTTTTGCATATCAAGAGACTTAAGAATACATTAACGTCTAGTCATATAAACTGCCTTAGGCAATGTTACTTGTATTAGCACCTCCTGGTGCCCTGCACTACACATTGAGCTCACATCAGTCCAGGGACAGTCTAAATCAAGAGAAATCTGCTTTCATGAAACCTCTCTTTGTCTCCTATTTATTTATTTATTCAGCTGCAAATAAGAGAAAAGACCAATAATATATTTCAATGTTTAATTAACTCTCAGAAAATATTTTAAGGCAGATATTATTTCCACAGCTTCCATATCTGTGAATATTAAACCCCTGGCTGTAGTTTGCATCTAATTACAAACATATGACAATGACAATGAAATATACCTGCTGATCTGATTATGCAATTCTAAGTTCTGAATTTTAATAACAATCAGCACGCTCGATTTCAATGTGAAATGGTCCGTTGCAGAAGACATAGTGTGACGCATCCATTCTCTTACAAGTAGCTCACAATGATGAGCTATAAATCCCAGGTCCCACTAGAGAGAGTACTGACATATTTGCATTTGTCCCCCAGTCCAGTGTACATGACTTCTCATGGTTTGCATTTAAACCGAGGCTAAATTACCAGCCACGTGCAACATTAGTAGCTAATATTTTAATTCCTAATGAATTCAGCAGCATGCCTTGCGATCAGCAATATATTTCACATGGAGCATAAAAAATATTGATAGTGTATAGATTACAAGAAAAAAAGTTACACTTTAATTCCTGCTGTTTAAGATCTCATTTAAAAGGACCTGTGAAAAAGATGGTTGTTAAAAATATACAAAATAGTGCTTTTTGATTATATAACCTAGAAAAAAAATAAAAACTTTTATGTGTTTGATTATTAATGTAGTGAAAGTTTTAATGATTTTGTAAAATATCTGTTGTTAAATAGTCATAGAATATCTCTGGTGAAATTCCTTCACCCTACTTGATATTATTTGGTTAGTAATGAGTTTGAGCTAGGAATTGTTACTAAACAGGGAATATCAACTATAAGGTCAACAAAACCAAAATGGAAAAATAGATGAATATTGGATTTTTTTAAATTTTAATCTAATTTGGTATGAAATGGGAAATTAGACCATAGCGCTTTCAGGATATCACTGCCAGGTGTGACATAATAAATGTTTATAAAATTATGCCTGTTGAGAGAGACTACATCCTATCCTTATATACCCAAAAAGAACACATGCAATAAAAACACCTGAAAATACTGGGTGGCCACCCATAATGATTGAGATACTCAATCGTTGGGAATATCTCAATCATTATGGGTGGCCACCCAGTATTTTCAGGTGTTTTTATTGCATGTGTTCTTTTTGGGTATATAAGGATAGGATGTAGTCTCTCTCAACAGGCTCCCTTGATAAAGGCTTTTTGCCGAAACGTTGGGGGCTTTTTGATTGACTCTGTCCCTGCTTCTCACAGGTCTGGGATGCTTTTTGTATTTTTTCTGTATGTTGTATTTTTGGGGGGGTTTGTATTAGTATCTTATTTACTTGCTTAGGTTACGAATATTCTTGTCATTCATACATTACGCATTTGGCGTTTATGTATCCAGAAATTTTTTCTGGTAGTTGCTTTATAGCATTATGACTTTTTACTTTTTTTGTTTTATATTCAAAGAGATACTCTAATAGTGTGTACCCATTCAATAAAGATTTTTTTTGTATATAAACATTTAAGGCCGTGCTCCTTACTCTATTTGTATTCACATTCACATTTATATGGGCTTTTGGGGATAGAGCCTTTTGTAAGTGAGCACCCAATACTTTCTTATAGAGCTCCATTTAGGGGCTACTTTACAGTAAATAGTTGAGTGTGCCTACCTTGCTTTATTTTTTTAATATCTTTGGTTATTCCCATAGGTGTTTGGCACCTTGAGCATGTCGTTTGCGGAGATTGGCTCTTTGTGTGAGAAGAGGGCAGAAGTCAAGGTATATTCACAGGCAGAGGTAGATATAGATGCTTTATTATCTAATTTTTCTAACAGTACTAATTTTGCTCAGAGTAATAGTACTGTTTTATATAAAAAGTGAATACCTTAAGAGGAAGGAAATGAATTACCAATTGCATGTTGAGACTTTAGTAGAATACTTGAGAGTTAAACGGATCGAGGGGCATGAGATTGGGCATTAAGCCCTCTTTTTGTCAACACAAACCAAAATTTGAGGAAAACTGGCAAAAAAATAAATGTAGCTTGGACCTAATTGCACTTACCATTGAGGGTATAAAAGAAGATTTGACCAAATTGAAACAAGAAATCAGTATTACTAAAAATAGAATACTGAGTACTGAGAATCAAGAATCCTTTATTAAACATTTAGATGAAATAAACAGTATTCTATCTAAGCATAAGACAGATACCCTCAACA